TAATTTGTTACATAATTTCGGATGAATTTTAACTATATCTCTATCAACCGGCTCTACAATATTTTACTGTGATCGAGAAGGGAATCAGTTGGTCAGTAACCAACTGTTGACCGTTTACGGAAAAACATACATTTGAACTCCGAATTCAAATAGAAATTTATTTAAAATGAATCTGGAACAAGTTTCGCGGATGCCCTTCGAAGAATTCCTAATTAACCACTTTCAGAAATGACAAAGTAGCCCAAAATATAAAGGCCAAACTAAATAGCTCCCGACAAAATAGTCTAGGACCAAACAGCCGATGACAAATAACCCATAAATTTTGCCTAAATTCCATGCCTTTAGAATTTCGTTTCGTGAATAAGTTTTAAATTGCTTAGTATCTAAATATATGCCGAGGATATAAAAACGTGCTACGACCTCTGAATAAATCAGTAGTTATATCGTACACGAAAATACATCATAAAAAAGAATCACGTGGACACTACTTGACTTTATAACACGGCCTATTAAATTTTAAACATTCTTTGCTCTAGTATACTTAAAACATGACGCGTCTATGAAAGGAAGAAGAATTTCAGCCGAGGTGGTAGGATATAGTTGTTGCAACAAACTGTTCATTGTATTTATTCCCAGCATCTTTGCTTTATATTTTTACGGAATGGAATCTGTTATTACTCGTGATTTCATAATTAGTTTATTTGCTGACGATATTGTAGCTTGGTGTAGTTGTCCAAACATTGACAATATCGAATCCAGTATAAACAATTTAATGTTCGAAATTCAGGATTTTGCTGGTGATCTCAAATTCCGTTTTAAGCCTCTTAACTCTATTACTGGGTTATTTATAATGAAAAAACGTCTATACAGTTAGAGTCGGAACATTTCCTTAAATGGTCACATCTTACAGTTGGACAGGAATTCCAAAATACTTGGGTTTGTCCTTGACACTGAAATCACCTGTTAGAAGCCCATCGATCTACTTTTATCTAAGGCTAGAAAGAGACTGAATATTTTTAAATTTATGTCCGGCTACAACTGACGACAAGATCCTAAGGAGAACGTATCAGTCTTATAAGACCGATTTTCTAATATGGTTATCAAATCCTATATGTAGGCTGGGATACAATTTTTGAAAAAAATTGGAAACGTAACAACTGACTGCAGCACGCCTCGTTACTGGACTTCGCAAGACTACTACACTTGAAATCTTTCTCTTCCAATCTGTCTGCAAAGCTTGCGGCTGAGAAGTCTCTTTAATCTTACTATATATTTTAGCAAGCTATTTAGTTTTCGTGATGAACTTCATACTCCAAACATTTTGAATGATAGAAGAAATCAAAAATTATAACGAATAGTCCCCTCAGAAATTCTAAAAAATTTGATGTTTGGCCGTCTTCTGTTGAATTTAAATTTTTTAAAGCTATCACATGTCTTATGTACTCATTATCTGGGTTATTGACTAATAAATCCTCTCAACATTTTGAATACTTAAGACTGAAAGTCGCTAATAGAATACCTGTTGAGGCTGTTGTCATATATAGAGATCGCAGTAAAAATGAACATGAACGGACAAGTAGCGGTGATTTTTTAAATTTTTTTTCTCTCTAATACTCTCTAATACTTCACGAACTATGTAGGTATTGGATTATATTTCGGCTGTCTATATTTCTCTAGATAGATGTCGATCTAAAACACAATCCAAAGACATATAAATAGCAATCAATTCACATCTGAAAACGGAACATATATTGTTATTTCTGCCTTTGAAAAATATTACCTTCCCCCCTCCCAAAATTTAACGAAATCACTGCTACTTGTCTGTTCATGCTCATATTTACTGCGATCTGTATATATGACAGCAGCTTCAACACGATGTTCATCACGAAAACTAAATAGCTCGCTAAAATATATAGTAAGATTAAACTGAGAGACTTTACTTCTTAAAAAATAATTACTGTTTACAGTACCCTCAAATCATGTTTTAATTTGTTTTGCACTTGTTTCCAATTTAACTACATAATATTTGGATACATTAGCTTTTTGAGTTGGAGTTGGTTTATAAATATGTTAATGATTTAGCAAAGGATAATCTGCTGGTGATCATGACCTTTCCAGCATATTTATTAGAGAAGTATATCGATCTGAGATCTGTGATTACGCGAAAAAAAAGAGAGATCCATTAAGGCATATTTTTAGGTCTCCTTCCTTCGGATTTCCACCAAGAGAAAACATCGAGCTTCCTGATTGCCATTCCGAAAAGATAATAAGGTGAAAATAAAAAACGTCATCCAATTTTTCAGTTAAAAGAGAAGAAGGTATGTGTGTCACATTTTAAAGTTCAGTTTTTGATCTTGTTATCGAATTGCACGATAATCCTATCTTAGCAATAGTTATGCTTAGAACCAAGTACAGGGTGCTCTTATTTGTACAATGTTTTAGATTAGCAGGCCGTAGGTTGTTCTCACAATATTTCAATCACTTCGGATACAAGGGTGATGAGTTATTCACCTGTGGAGAGACAGGTCACTTGGGAAGCTATGTTTCCTGTTACATCTATATTCATGTTAAGATTCTAGCAGTGGAAATAAAGAAGCTTTTGTGAAAAAAGTATTATCTAAAACATAAATTTACTGAGAAATTCGGGCAGAAAATGAAGCAAGAGGTGATTCTTTTAGTTAGATACTGCTCAAGATCACTACTATTTTTCTTTAACGTGCAAAATTTGTTAATTAAATTTAATTTCTCAGGACGTTATATGCATGGACAAAAATGAGTATTATAACCTCATTTGTATCTCATTGTAACAGTACCTCATTTGTTAACATTAACGAAGTTGTTTGAGAATTTTTTCCTATTTAAGAAATTTGTTGCAATATTATAGTTTTATATTCTGGAAAATCTGACCCCCCCCCAAAAAAAACGAAAAAAAAAAAAAAAAAAAGAAAGAAAAGAAAAATTACAATTTTATAGTATTTGCTATAACAAGAATATTCGAGGACAGTTTGAGCTAGAAAGAACAACATTCGATAATATAACCTTTTCATGAATTAATTAAAATACACTATCGGAATGGATATGAATTATAAAATGTATATTTTTTCACACATTTCTTGAATAAAGGTTTCATTTCCTTTCACATATTCTTTGAATAACTTCTTTTCTATGCGAATTTTTTTTCCTGTTATTAACTTTTAATAATGTTTAATAATTATTTTATTTGACGTAAACAATTATTTTAAAAATACTTAAGTCATTTTTTTATTATTTCCAAACCATTGTTTTCATCTTATTACATTTATTTATATATAGTTAATTGCTTAATGTAACTAAAACACGAGTTATCTTTGATAACAAAATAATATGTATTATTTTATAAAGTGGAACAGAGTATCAATTTTTAAGTACATAAAAAAATAATAATTTTTACTCAATATCATACTAATTAATAATTTAATAATTACTAATTTTTATTAAAAAAAACTTTTCACCGCATTTTAATTTAGAATATCAGGTTTGAAATAAAATTATTAAAGGAGAACAATGGCAAAATGATAAACGTTTAGTTTCATTTAATAATAAATTGTGCAAATGTTTACTAGGTTAAATTCATTATGAAATTTACATCTTTATGAAATCTGAACTCGTATATTTATATCTCATAAAGTCTCTTCGTTGGAAAAATTTCACCTGTTTAAGCAGAACCTTAGTGAAATTCTTTCAATTATATTCTAACAAAAAATTACAAATCAGGTTTAATTAGTTATCTAGTAATAATAATTAGTAAGAAAGAAAAGAGAAAATTAGAAATCTTGTTTATTTCATCAAATTTTATTTCCTATGCTTTCTAATGCAATAAAAGACAAAGAAATGTTCCAGTCTTTCTGGGATAATACATTAGATTTGAATTTAAAATTCTTTCGTGAGTTTTATTATAAATTATAAATCATAAAAAAGAACTGAGAAGAAAAAAGGGAGAGCTAAATAAATAAACAAGGAGTGAATGAGACCTAAATAGCAAACCTCTGATTTCTACAGGGAAAGTTTATAAAATGGTTTAGCAGTATTATGTGGAATGCAAATGTAACAAATCCTAAACTGGGATATTGAACACAACAAAGGAAAAACACAATTATCATTGCATTATTACTGTCAATAAAACTACTAACATATAATATCCTTAGGATGCACTAAATTATACATTACAAATCTAAACAATTAATACAAATATACTTTAGATAATATGTATATGCTTATTTTCAATTCAGTCAACTCAAAAGAGGAAGAATTGTTCCAATAGAGGAAAAGAAGAGAAAGAAGAAAGTCATCGAAATTGTCTTTGCAGTCAATTCAGAATTATTCAAAACTGTCTGTAAATGGGGAACAATAAATATTACTCTTTTATCACATACTGCATTTCATCATTGTATGGCATGATATTTCATAAAAACTACAATTTAAATTCTTTCTAAAGACAGCACTTTAGGTTACATTTACACACGTGTTTAGAAAGAATTCAAATTGTAGTCTTTATGAAATATCATGCCATACATTTTTATTTACATATGTATGTATATTTATTATCCTCAAAACACGTGCATGCAAAGATTGTTATAATGATATTTAATTATCTAAACTAGAATTAAATACATTTAATTATCTAAGCTAGAATTAAATACAAGATTTTGTAAAATTTCATTTTTAATGCTTTACTTTATATTAAGTGAATTTTAAGAATATCAGGCATGAACTCACAAAATTTAAATAGCGTATTTTTTCACATTAATATCAGAAACAAAATTGTTATTAGGTACAGAGATATTATCAAGATTTTGCAAGGTCTTCGGATTTTAATAAATACGCTGTTGCTGTGACAAATGTATCGATATATTTAAAGGCAAGCATTTTGCAACATACAAAACGTATTTAAAATTTCGAATTTTTATTAGTTCTACATTTAATCTAATCCTAATTTTAAGTCACACATTTGTTTAATTTACTTAACTTGGTAAATGATGCCATTCACTAGAAATTAAGCGACTAGCATGATGATAATAATGTTTTCTGCTATAGAATGAACGATTACCATGATGATAAACAATACTATCTGCTATAAATTAAATTAATAGTATGATTAAGTCATCATATTCATATAATCACTATTATACTTACAATAAGATTAAATACGTTTACTTTCTATAAATGTATGTACTCGCTTTAGTTTATGATAATTATATTTAACACAGAAGCACTTTTTTAAGAACAGGTAAGTATAAACTTATTCATTAAAAAAAAAGAAAGAAAAAGAAAACGCAACATACCTTCGAAAATTTCGTTGGCTTGAAATTGCTTCTATGAATCGCGTTTATCAATTTGTTTAATAATTCTTTCTCTTTCGGAAAAGAGAAAACTTGTACTTTTGGACCATTTGGGTATTTGCCTTTGCAGTTCGGTACACAGCATGTGTAAACCGTATCAAAAATTGGAAAACAAATAATATGAAAGTGGCATAGTCTTAAAATATCTAAAAAAAGGAAAGAAAATGTCGACTATTCTCATGGACGCTTTCTGACCGAGTGACAGTCAGAACTCCGGAAATCCACGCACCACATTCCTAGGTGGGAAGAATTAAGTGAAATGCAATCCCTACTGACATAACGTCACACCTCCTCCTGGGAAAAGTGCCGTAGCCTTGAATCCAGAGGGTGCTGGTCCTGATCACTCAAAAGATTCTGCTGGAAAAACACTTGAAAAAAATTTGCTGCTTTAGGAAATGGCTAAGAGAAGGAACATTTGTTCTCATGCTTAGAAAGTATGCTAATAGTAATATGACAGGATGTACACAGCACAGAAAACTGTGGAATATACAAACAGTACTTTACAATCTTTATATGGGTCATACAGAAATTAAATGCAAAACTGTGAGTATCTTTATAGACAGTACATTCAATATAATATCAGACGGTTAATTGAATGTACGGAAAGTCATATAGCAGATATAATGCTCATTCTTGTCCATGCATGTAACGTCCTGAGAAGTTAAATTTAATCAACAAGTTTTGCACGTTAAAGAAAAATAGTAGTGATCTTGAGCAGTATCTAACTAAAAGAATCACTTCTTGCTTCATTTTCTGCCCGAATTTCTCAGTAAATTTATGTTTTAGATAATACTTTGTTCACAAAGGCTTCTTTATTTCCACTGCTAGAATCTTAACATGAATATGGATGTAACAGGAAACATAGCTTCCCAAGTGACCTGTCTCTCCACAGGTGAATAACTCATCACCCTTGTATCCGAAGTGATTAAGATACTGTGAGAACAAACTACGGCCTGGTAATCTAAAACATTGTACAAATAAGAGCACCCTGTACTTGGTTCTCAGCAGGGCTTAATTTCTAAAATTATTAGTGCCTATGGAAGGCCGTGAGCAAAGAGGAACAAGAGTAAATAAATAAATAAAATGATTATTAAATTCATTAATAATTTTAGAATTAAATGATTAATTACTATCAAATTAATTAATAGCTATTTAATTAATGGTAATAAATTGCTTTTTAATCAATAATTATTATATAATTAAATATTAAAATTAAATTAAATGTAAAGAGATAAATTAAAATTTAATAAGCGATTTTTAATATAATTTTATTGTTAAAAAAAATTTTGGAGAAAAAATATTTACTGAAATTGCTATTCTGTTACATAAAAGAAGTGCCGCCTTCTTATTTAGGGCTCCGGTGCGCTGCGGCTAGAATTATGATTTATTGCAAAAATTAAGAAGCATCTGAGCCGGGATCCGGTGAGCTCCAGCGCAATTTAAGCTCTGATCGTTGGGGGGGGAAAGTTCTTTTATCATCACAAAAGTTAAATATACTTAAAATATAGCTGATGAAAAGTCATATAATGTTAAAAAGAGAGCGAAACAGAATGTGGGCGTGAGGGCATGAGTGGGTGGAATCAAAAAAATGAGGGAAATTTTGGTGAGAGAGAATGTTTTCTTTGACCACAGCTCTTTGCTGATATAATTATAGCCATCAAGCGAATGTGTGTCAGAGGTAAAATGAGTTCTGACTCAGAATCCTTCGGAATGGCAAGTTGCTGGTAAGGTTTTTCGCTCCCCGTATTTGGTTACATTAGTGGATATTTTGGTAAGACGATGTATAGAACGTGCTTGACCAGTTTATCTCAGTATTTTACTCTTATTGTACTCACTGTGACTTAAATCCATAACAGTGCACTAGATACGACGGCATGGGGAGACATTTACGCGTTCCTAAACAAACTCCCCTAAATTTATTGCCCTATCTACCTTTCTTAAAGGGAAAGGTTTCCGCATGTGAGTGAGGGGATTATTTTACTTGAACGTCTCATGTTCTCATAAACTCGTATTTCTAGGGAAATAGAGTATTGCAAGATCTGCCTGTTATTAAACTAAAACGTTAGGAATTCAAAATATTTTCCCTTGAAATTGTGGCTCAGTTATATAAAAAGAAGTACCGGAGCTCATCTTATTTACGGCTCCGATGCACTCCGGCTAGAATTATAATTTATCTTAAAAATTTAGAAGTACCAGAGCCAGCCTCCGGTGGGCTCCGGCGCAAATTAAGTACTGAACTTCTCGGCCTCACTCTTGTTAAGATTGGATTATGGTGCAATTCGAGAAAAAGATCAAAATCTGAACTGTAAAATGTGATACACATGCCTTCTTCTCTTTTAGCTGAAAACTGGATGACTTTTTTTTATTTTCTCTTTATTATCTTTTCGGAATGGCAAATCTCAGGAAACTCGATGTTTTCTCTTGGTTCCTTAAAACGTTGAGCGCGGCGCCGAACTTGCTGTCCTTTCCGTTCAGCCGGAAGCGAGCTAAGCCGTATTTTTTGTTTAGAAAGTTTCAATACATTTCATTAAAACTAAATTTGATCACATTTCATTGAGACTATATTTATTTTTTAACTTTAATACTGTCGGTCCCGCGGACCGACGCCAGCCAAACGAAAATTCCAGTGCCAGTCCCCAGGGACCGACGCCGGCCACACGGAAACTTCACTGCCGGTCCGCAGGGACCGTCGCCGCGCTCAACGTGTTAAGGTGGAAATCCGAAGGAAGGGGACTAAAAATGTACTTTAATGGATCTCTCTTTTTTTCGCGTAATCACAGATCTCAGATCGATATACTTCTCTTATAAAAATATGCTGGAAAGGGTCGTGATCTATAGTGTACCAGTTTATAAGGGCATTAGTGCATAGTCTTGCTTTTTCTGTTTTCTTGTACAGGCGGAATGTTTTTTGCCTTGTGTTGCTTCTGTCCAGAAATTGTTCCATTTCCTTGATATTAATTCTTGAATGTCCTCTTTTAAATATGATTTGGGCGAGAATTTATGAGTGATTGCGCGTTATTTTTACAGCTGTTCTTTGGCAAGGCGATCTGACTTCTCATTCTCTTTGTTGAAAATCGCGTTTTCACTCTTTCAGTGTATATATTTGTATTCCTATTGCTGCTTGCTGTTGTAAGCATTTTCACACTATAGGGAACTATTGTGTGAAACGAATATTGTTTAAAGCATGTATTTATGAAAGGGACATAATTCTCATACGACAGCACATTCGCCTACAAACAAAACGTACATAAAACAGCACTCGATGCTTTTAGTTCTGAATCGGCTTTAGTTCTCTTTAGTTAATTTACCGCTAAAACGTTTCTCTGGAAATTTTCCGCCAAGAAATGACTCTGTGCCTCTCAATATCCAGCAACGCGAATGAAGGAATTACAAGTACCTACATGTAACGTAATTCCACCTTTTTAAGAACACCATATTTAACTGCTTTTAAGAGGTTTTCTTCTTGGGATGACTGACCTTTCTGACCTAAAACATCCTCATTTAGTTTAAATGACTCGCCTCATTTCTTTCTGCAGCCTTTTTTCTTTTATTACACAAATCGTTCTTCACTTTCCTTTGGAAGTCATCAGCTTGCTTATCTGACCACTTATTCTGCCGAATACATACCTCTTCTGTAGAATTTATGCCACCTCTCTCTCCAAATGTATTACGTAACTATTTACAAAAGTATCAATATATTTATCTGTCCACCTATATTCGGCTAGCCTCCAAATTTAGTACTTCAGCACCAGTTCGAAAAATTCTTCAAACATACCAGAATTCCGCTATTCATTGAAGCCCTTTATTTGCAGTAGCACATTCTGAATATTCAACAGTGCTACTTGGACATTTATCATGCTTCCATACATTAGCCATAATTCCAACTTTCCTTAACATAAACATCATAAATGTTTTCATGGCTTCTGATATTTTCAAAATAATTTGGCTTCAGCAGAGCCCTGTGCCTTACTTCGGAGAATTCTTTAGCTTGTGTGGATTTAAAAAATTGCACCTCTCATGACCAGGTTTATCTAACAAACTTTTTCTGATTATTCCGAAGCAGCTCAGAACCTTGCTGGAGCTAAGTTAAAGCAGGTTGAGCATATCTGTGCGGTTCTACATAGCTTTCAATAATAACTTCACATTTACATGTCAGCCAGAGGGTTACACAGAATCTGAATGAATAGCCAAAATTAACTTCCGCAACATGCGGGAAATTCAGAACAAAGTCGTATTAAAATTATTTAATTACATTAGTATTAAATTACGTATAATCAAAGCAACATGAATCTACTCAGCATTAGATCGAGTTTCAAGTATTTCACGATGCAAATGCGGCTGACGAAGGTAAAGGCGATAAAAAGACTTTAGGAGCAGAAAATTTGTAACAGAGTAATCCGTCAAAAACTGCCGAAACCTCTTTCCCGATTTCAAAAACTGCACGTTTATATTCATTAACTAAGTTGCAACCTGCTGAGAGTGGACGAAACACTACTGCTTTTTAAACCCATTTGAACCCGAAAATGGGGACGACTGTGAATGAGATGGGTGATTCAGTGAAATCGGATTTTCTAGCAGTTAATGAGAAGAATTGGAGATTGAAAATGACGAACGAGTGATCGTGGAGGAACCTTCAAAGAAAAGGCCTGGTCATTAATTTTGATGGTGATGATGATGGTGATGGGAGTGGACGAAAGTAGAAAAAGTAGTAAGGTACATGAACGTTTTAATATGGAATCTCAGCATAATCATTAATTATAAGATTAAATATAAGAGACGTGTATACAGCTATTATAAATCAAAACTTATTTTATTATAATAAATGGTAGAATAGATTTCTTCGTTTAATGCATCTAACTTTTCATACGTTTTTTCTGTGAGGGAAAAACTATTCTGTATGAGAACTTGAAATTTCTTAAACAGAAATTCGAAACTTACTCAATCCTCTTCTCCTTAAATATACGTTTTCGAACGAACTTCAAAGAATTCTTCAACGGTAGTTTACTTTTGCATGAAATAAGATAGAGGGAAATAAATAATTTTCTTCGGAAAAAGGAAAAATAAAAATTTATATTTATTTTGTTGTGAATATTATATTTTGACTTTTTGGAGCAAGGACAAAATAATTTTATATAATTTTGCTCTCTTTTCACAGTATTTGCAAATGAGTTAATTTCTTATGAATTATAAGGACAATTGCGTTTTTCAAAAAATATTCTTATTAGTCAGGAAAAAGGCAGAAACATAAATGCATTTTTATTCTATATACAGTACAGAAGAAATTTTTTTCATGTTAACATAATTTTCTTTAAAAGATAATGATGTGCCACTCTTATGGTATAAGTTACAGAATTAGAGAAACCACGATACAGCTAAGTAAAATAATAATGTTGTTATTATTTACTGTCTGTTGACGTATAGTCTGAGTGTCCCTCTGGAATCAATCAATAAGTTCGGTATGTTAATTAAAGTAGTAGGTAGTGTATTAAATTTAAATAGTTATTTGATCAAAAGTGCTAATTCCCTCCAAAGCTGCTGATCACTGGTGCCTCTTAAAATTGTTGATCACTAGTGAGCTACTGTTTGAGGGTTAAATGGAATTATTCAATAGATCACCGGTATGACGCAGAAAAGATAATTTAGATATAGTTTGAAATTAAAACTAAATCGGACTCAAGTGCCTGAAAAGGTCTTGAAAGAATTATACAAAATTTTTAAATTAAAAGATAACATTGACCGTAACCAAAGACTAGTGACCATCAAGGACACTGGGTACTTACGGGTTTGCAATTTTTAGTATTGGGTAGTATAGTGTTGTTTGAGTGCCAACATTTAGAAAAGCAAGTGGGCAGTACATAATACTTGATAATGTAAACCTAAAACCATTATTACATAATATAACACTCCAAAGGTTTTGGAGACTCTACTGAGGGCATTTCTAACGGCAGTATAAATATCTGTTAAATAATCTTTACCTATAAATAATACTTATCTGATAAATCTATCTCATAAATCCTTATCTGATAAATTATACGCATCTTTAAAATATATTCCCAGGCAGTTTATAGATATGGTGTAATACATGTGACAAAGACTCATAATGTTAAATATAGGGTCCATAAGAAGCCTTACACGCTTTTCATTTATTTCCAAATCAAAGATTCCATTCAGTAGATATTATATCTATTTCTGACAAAATAAATATGCCCAATGAGACAATTACAATCCTTCTCATGAAAATTAGGGAATGTTAACAAATCTATCTCTTTGATACAACTCTTGGATGTCTCGAATCTGTCTCTTAGAGGTCTTTAATTACATCTTTGCCATTCCGAAACTAAGTATGAAGGCAATTAGTGAAGGTTACATAAATTAGAAAATGCTTTGAGCAAGAATAATATATACATATATGACAATAATGTCACCCAGATGATGTATGAAGATGTATCAAGATTACGCTCATACAAAAGCAAAGCATTCTGCGATCAATTTGTATCTGAGATATGAATATTTGCGCATTTTTATGTGGATTAATAGTAATTAGATAATGCTCTACAATATTTTAACTAACCGTATTCTATTATCTGCGTGACTGAAACGAAATTTGGAACATAAATATGTCTAATTTGGAAAATAAAAATACGCATATTCATATATCTGGTAAATTCAATGCAAAGACTTCAGTCATAATTTAGAGAAATGTAATTTCAAAATATACTTACAAGTAATATTCAGATGCCAGCCGTCCTCCAACGCAGACCCACTGAGAAGAAAATTCTCAGCCCTGCACCTGAGATATCTTTTGTGATCACTTCGAGAGGGCCAGAACGACAAAATGCTCGTAGTCCTATTGCCATCCATTGAGAGAAGATCTGTGTGGTTAGAAAGGGGTTCATTATCCAGAAACCAAGACATTCGGGATGCGGGACGAGATCCACCAGAATAACACCGTAGATCTACTTTTCGACCGGCAGTGAAACTGACTCGTTGTGGACTCAAATTGACATCCAAGGGTTTCACTAAAAATAATTAATTTCATGTAATTTCAATGAATATAAATTTTTAAGCACATTTCTTTTAAATATAGTAAAAATATAACCAAAACTAACATAAGCAAAAGACTCACCTGGCCCTTTTTTATTATCTTTAATTAACAAAACACAATTAAGATAAAACATTACAATTAAGGACGTTATAATTACACATTTAAGTTACAAAGTAAATCTCAGGAAACAGCATCTCGAGAAACAACATTCTTAGTTCTTGATTCCAGTACATCGACCGAAGCCTATATTCTTTTTTGACCGGTGTTTCTTCCGGCAATCACTAGGTGGCGCTCATTGAGTCGTGGAGTTACAGACTCCTCCTCTGACTTATACGACGTCTCGGCGAAGAGCCAGAAATATCTTTCTTTGATCTGCGTCGTCTCAGAAGAGGTGCTACAGTCCCGCTATCTCTTGAAACGGGCAGTTCTTAAGCACGTAAGGCTAAGTTGTGATAAGTCCCAAGGACTTCATCTGGCTGAGCAGGATTAGCAATATCATACGTAGTGGGTGAAACTAAATAAGGTGCTTCACGTTTAGGCATGAATTTTGGCACCTTCTATTCTGTGATCTGCAAATAGGATGTAACGTCACCCATACTCTGTCACCTGGTTCGTAAGACGTCGATGACCATAATATATTTTTGTGCTTTTCATATTCTTCATTAAATAGGGATGTTCTATCAGCAGCATGGAATCTAGATGATTCCCTTCAAGCTTCATTGAATCAGGATGATTTATGGCACAGCATAGAATTAAGATGATTCTCTTCAAACTTCACTGAATCAGGATGATTCATTCAAAACTTCATAGAATCAAAATAATTCCCTCCACACTTCATTGAATCGGGTCAAACTTCATTAAACTGGGATGATTCATCAACATCATAGAATCGGGATGATTCTCTTCAAACTTCATTGAATCAGAATGATTCATCACACAACACAAAATCGGGATTATTCTCTTCATACTTCATTGAATCCGGATGATTCAGTCTAAACTTCCTGAATCGGGATGATTCACTTCAAAACCCACTGAATAGGAATGATTCTTTTCAAACTTCATTGAATCGGGATGATTCATCACACAACACAGAATCAGTATGATTCTCTTCATACTTTCATTGAATAGTGATGATTCATCACACAGCATAGAATCAGGATGATTCTCTTCATACTTCATGGAATCGGGATGATTCACTCAAAACTCCGTAGAATCAGGATCATTCTCTTCATACTTCATGGAATTGGGATGATTCTTTTCAAAACTCCGTAGAATCAGGATGATTCTCTTCATACTTCATGGAATCGGGATGATTCACTCTAAACTTCCTGAATTCAACCATTCAACAGCACAGAATCAGGATGATTCTCTTCAAACCTTCGCTCAATCGGGACGATTCATTCAACAATACATAACCGAAGCATACATAACCGATTCAACAATACATAACCGTATTTTTCCTTCGTGTTCCGGCTATTTCACGATGTATAAAATGCATATTTCTTTAGCGGCCCTTATTTTCGAATTTAATGAATGATTCAGAAGGTATTAATTTTAGATGCTACAAGATGCTTGTATTTTCAACTATTTTCGCACATTTCAAACTTTTTTAAAAAAGTGAATTTTTTAAAAATTTTTTTAAAAAGTGTTCTAATTTTGAACTTTTTTATTACATTTTCGGATCATGTACCTGACGATTACTTAATTTTAGATATAAATTTAACTACCTTTCTATTTTTTGACGTTTATAGTTTCCAACATACTTTGAATTTTAACTTGTTTACTATATTTTCACACTATGTACATGACTTTCACTTAATTATTCAACAGCACAGAATCAGGATGATTCTCTTCAGACTTTACTGAATCGGGATGATTCATTCAACAGTATAGAATCAGGATGATTCTAGAAAAGTTCACTACATGGTGTTGGATCTCCCCCTGGCTCGAAGCAGTTCTCTTGAATTTTTGCAAAAAGCGATTTACTTGAGTACGCCGTTTTGTAGGCACATATTTACCTTCGTCACTTCGAAGATTCACTAAAGTGGATGTTCCAAAACTTTCGTTTAATTGTAAATTTATGGATTTGTTTGTCTACATGCGGAATTAGCTCTTTGAGTTGAATCACTTTCAAATTATCTGAGACGGGCAGACCCAGTTCTGTGGTTAAGATATCCTTTTTCTGGTTAGTCCCAAAAATGCCATATTATCGTACTTCCAATATCCGTTGAAAAGTTCAATATTTGTTTGAAGAAAAATTATATGCTTAGAAATTTTATGAATTTCTTAATTACCCTTAACAATTACATAATACTCATTCAGAAGTCAAACAACAAAAATCAGCGTTGTGTTTTCACACTGTGAAAATTTTGAAAATATAACGCTGATTTTTGTTGTTTGACTTCTGAATTAGTATTTATTCGGCGTGTTTTTGTGTCTTAATTACATAATATTTGAAAAACAACATTGAACAAAATCATTAATCTGAGATTACTTCGAAAACGAAACTAACATTTTATAAAAATTGGTACTCTTGTCAATGGACAATAAAATGCATAAATTTAGTAATGCCTATGATGTCTACAAAATCCTGAATGCTTTAAGAAATAAAATTTCGACTGTAGTTCTTTTTGAAAACATAATTAGATGTATATGCTGTTCTCAAATATTACGAAATAATAATTTAAAAATTTTTAAAAACTCACAATTCGAAAATGCAGCAAGTATTAGAATGCCTTTTCAGAATAACGGCAACTAAATATTAATTCAAAAGAAGTATTCTTATTGAATAAAAACAAAACATTAGTGGCACAGTTTAAATAATACAAGTAGTGTGAAAATGCGGATTCAGCGACAGGATCTCAAACTCGCCGGCGGATTGCGGATGAGCCAGCACGCGGAGGCGCAGCAAATAAGGAGTGTTTCGGGATTCTTCATTTAACTGATAAGATGACATCACACTTTATAAGAGATTAACTTTATAAGGGAATGTTGATTTTCCGGAGGTTCTAGGTTAATAGATGTTTAGCCTTTGTATTTTTCCTTCGTGTTCCGGCTATTTCACGATGTATAAAATGCATATTTCTTTAGCGGCCCTTATTTTCGAATTTAATGAATGATTCAGAAGGCATTAATTTTAGATGCTACAAGATGCTTGTATTTTCAACTATTTTCGCACATTTCAAACTTTTTTAAAAAAGTGAATTTTTTAAAAAATTTTTTAAAAAGTGTTCTAATTTTGAACTTTTTATTACATTTTCGGATCATGTACCTGACGATTACTTAATTTTAGATATAAATTTAACTACCTTTCTATTTTTTGACGTTTATAGTTTCCAACATACTTTGAATTTTAACTTGTTTACTATATTTTCACACTATGCACATGACTTTCACTTAATTTGTAGCTACTTTCATACGTTTTAACCTTGGTAATTTCAAACAGGTTCTTAACATTTGCTTATTCCTATATTTTCTGACCATATATGTGAACTTCATTTAACATTAGATGTAATTTTTACCTTGTTTCATGCATTTTAAAACTTAAAATTTTCTATACACTCAGAATTTTACTTTATTTCTTGAATCTCCTGTTCATAATACCACATTTACTTTACATAATCTTAATTACATTACCCATTTTTATTACTAAATTCATTTTACTCAGAAGTTTTTTTCATACTTGCTAACCAATACTCTTAACATATTTGCTATATTTTACGAATATAATTCCTAAATCACGCGTTATTCAATGTCAGATGTAATTTTTAACTTCTTTTCTAGTTGTTTAGCGTTTTTAGTTTCCAACATACTCTGAATTTTAACTAATTTGCTATATTTCACTATGTACATGACTTTCATTTAATTTCTTTCACTCGTTTTAAACTTCGTAATTTTAAACGTATTCTTAATTTTAGCTCAATTCCTCTATTTTCAGACCATATATATGAGCTTTATTTAATTTTAGATGTTATTTTTAACTTGTTTCGTACATTTTGATCCTTCATAATTTTGAAAGTACAATAATTTCGAACTTCTTTCATACATTTGAACCTTCGCAATTTGTAGCATACCTCTAATTTTAACTTAATTCTTATATTTCCTGATCATATACAGGGTCTTTATTGAATTCAAATATAATTTTGAGCTTATTTCATAATTTTAACCTTCGCAATTTTCAACGTACTTTAAGGTTTATTTTATTTTCACATTATTTGCATGAATTGTATTAAATTGTAGATGTAATTTTCTAACATTTTTAGAATTTTTGTTTCTCTTGTACCATTGATGTTTACGTATTTATCATATTTTCTGTTTATAATACATATTTATTTTAATTATTTTACCATTTCAACTAAATTTACATGTTTAAACTTCTTAAACATACATAGAGCAGAGATATTTTCAATTAAGCATTTTCTTTTATAATCTTAAACAACTATTCATATCCAATTCGTCGAATAACCCTTACATACTCTATATTTTATAGAGATATTTTAATATGACAATTCTACAATTTATCATTCTGTTGTATTCTTACCATAACTGATTCTACTATTTTACTTCATTTATAATTTCCTTGGCATTTTTAACCTTTATTATTTCCTGCCAATTCAGATATTTTCATATATCTGAATGTTCTAGAATGAATGAATGTTCTAGAATGTTCCATATGTATTAGTAAATGGAAAACATTTAATTTGTTAAACAATACTGATTTTGGATCCATATTATCTGATTGGTGATTTATGTGATTACCTGATCCATGATATAGCATATAAATTCATATCTTCCAATATTTTTATTAGTGCCTTGTAAACTAATTTTACGATTGTGTGTTGTTTGCTTGCTTTCATTTTTATATTTAAAATGGGTAATACTTCAGTTTCTTCAATCTCTAGTGATACTACTGCTGATGTATTTATACCTAAAAAAGTTGGTTTTACTATGCTTTATGAAATATATTTTAATATG